GAACCACCATTTTCCCCAAGATACAAAAAAGAAGGCAAAAGCCATGAAGATATAAAATAATAATTTCTGCTAAATTTTTCTAATTGTTATGGAATTACACATTTTATAGAAAAAATATTGCGGATATCATGTGTCAGTCTCTTAAGCTTCCCCTCACCCTATTAATATTGGGGAAAAAAAAACTAGTTATATTATTAAAATGATGATTTTACATGAAAGTAGAATATAAATCTTGACTACACATTAAAAATAAATAGATCCTGTGGTTTCTACTTTGAAAAATGCAGGTGCGATAACCAAAAAGTGCAATTGTAGGCATCACATACAGCTTCCACACGTATTATTTTGTATCAGCAAACATAATTTTCCTGGAGCAAGGTATTATGGTGATGAAAATCACTGGCTTTGGAGTCCAAATATCTGTATTCAAATTGTCGTTTCATTGTTCATAATCTGCATGAACTTGCAAAAGACGAATTCTTCAGGTCTCAAAGTATAGCAGTTAAGAAAACATACTTCAAAGTTACGTAGAAATGAGGTATTATTTCAGTTTTACTACTTGACAGCTATGTACAATTTGGACAAGTTATCTCTCCTTTATGCCTCAATTTCCTTATCTGTAAAGCAAAGATCATTATAGTGTTTATTGCATACTGTTGCTGAATGAATGTTGAATACTAAAGAAAGTTTGAGGCACATAAAAATCATTCAATAAATGTCTACTGAAACAATATATTAACTTCTTATGCCTTTTATAAGAGAGCAACAAAAGTTTCTGAGCCAACGCAAAGGAGTAGTAATCTGGAAAAATAAACTGAAACCCTATTCTAGTTTGTTTTCTTTGATTTTTGGAGGTAGAGTCTCACTCTCTTACCTAGGCTGGAGTACAGTGGTGCAATTAGAGCATACTACAATCTTGAATTCCTGGTGTCAAGCAATCCTCCTGCCTCACCCTCCCAAGTAGCTAGGACTTACAGGTTCATGCCACCATGCCTGGCTAAATTTTGTAATTTGTGTACAGACAGTCTTGCTATGTTGCCCAGGCTGGTCTTGAATTCTTGATCCTCCCGCCTTGGGCTGCCAACGTGCTAGGGTAAAAAATGTAAGCTGCTATGCACAGCCCAAACCCTATTCTTTAGAGAGAAAGCAAGGCTCACTATTATAATTATTCCTAAATTCATATAAAATAAATGTATCTAATATTCTGATAGAGGCAGAGATACAGAAGAAAGAAAGGAAAACAAAGAAAAAAGGAAGAAAGGAAGGAAAGAAAACAGGAAGAAAAAAGATCAAGAGCTGGGAAGATATTTCATTTTCACCATAATAAATCTGGACATATCACTATCGATGATCTGGATTATAATAAAAATCTACTTAAAAACATAAACATATGACACCTTCATACATTTCTAACACAGAGCATTTACAACTTTAATAAGTATGGTCAAGAACAGGAAATAAGCAAGAATTTTGAGAAAAAAGGATTTCCTTTGAAATTTCAAATCTCTCTTGAATTTTTCCTTCCTTCATTTTGGTGAGGTTAGTTTTTAAAAAAGGGTTTCTGATAGTTTCACTGCTCAAATGTATCATCATTGATACCTATTAAACCTTATCCAAGTGCTGTAATATAGGACAACTTAAAATTGGGATTAATTTTCCTTTCTATTGGTCCTTCCAACTTAGATAAGTGAGCTGCCTAAGGGACTGTTAATGCAGTAAGGTGTATGTCTAATTATGCCATTGTCATTAATTTGGATATGATTAATTTCAGCAAATGTATTGGGCTGATCATAAGCATTGTGACAATAATTACAGGATTGACAAATGATTATCAAAACTTGAGTGAACAACGCAATCTAACAGTGACAGCTCTAGAAATGAGAGATATCAGAGAATTTTAACCAGAAGATGCTCTTCTTAGAGAAAAATTAATTGAATGCACAGAATCCACCTTGGATCTCAGAAATCTTCCTAGATTTCCAGAAATAAAATTGGCAAACAATTTGGTAAAAGATTATGTGTTGAGCTTGTGAATTTATTGTAAAGACAGAGAAATAATCACTCACTTAAGGTTAAGAAATGAATACTGCTTTATATAACAGACACGGAAAGTCATCATTCCCTGAGGGAGCTTTTTATTTTCTTATAATCTACTATCTTCAAGATCCTTTTTACCTCACCCCTTTAAAATGAGGCTACCCATATGAACTAGAAATAGTGAGTCTGAAAACATGTACAAACTATAGTAGTGTAACATGACTATTTGTGTCAGCTTTTCAGCATTTGCTTTTACCCACAATAGGACCATGGATATACTACTGTGATAAGATGTTCGTACGAAAAAATATATAAATGTAAATTTCACATGGCCGTGGTTGAAATTGAAAAAAGTTGAAGAGGAAGTTGTAAGTAAGCAGAACGCAACACATGGGAAAGTACTTGGGAGAGAGCGAGAAAGCTGGAATGAAGTGAGGCACGTAAGGGAATGTAGAGGAAAATGGCCTTGGACTGACTTGCCTCCCACAGTGTTCACCGTAGAATTCTAGTTGGTCAGTTGATTATGTGATGATATATATGGTTGTGGGCAATGTACCCAAGTCACTTAAGATATTAGTGCTGTAATTTTCTGAACAAGAGTTGCTAACCTTTCTCAGATACACTGAAGGTATGATTGATGAAAATGTCCCCAAAGCAACTTGAACATGTGAACTTGGACATAGATTTCTTCCTTTTAATTGCTTTTTAAAAAAGGATAGGGATTAAGGCAAAAATAGTGATTACATCTTAGAATCTTTTTTGTTTTTTTTTTTGAGACGAAGTCTCGCTCTGTCGCCCAGGCTGGAGTGCAGTGACCAGATCTCAGCTCACTGCAAGCTCCGCCTCCCAGGTTTACGCCATTCTCCTGCCTCAGCCTCCCGAGTAGCTGGGACTACAGGCGCCCGCCACCACGCCCAGCTAGTTTTTTTTTTTTTTTTTTTTTTTTTTTGTATTTTTTAGTAGAGACGGGTTTCACCGTGTTAGCCAGGATGGTCTCGATCTCCTGACCTCGTGATCCGCCCGTCTTGGCCTCCCAAAGTGCTGGGATTACAGGCTTGAGCCACCACGCCCAGCCATAATCTTAAAATATGTATGACCAAACCAACCATATTGGAATCACCTATACAAAAATGCAGTATAAAGTTTCAGCTTGAGAAAATAGTCAAGATTTTTTTATGTTTATTATTACGTGCTGATAATATTAAATTATTTATCATATAAAGGATAAATATAAAATAGCAGATTTTTAAACAAAAAAACACAATGTGTATCGCAGTCATTTTTATTGGTAAAAAATTTGTCTCTGAAATTTTCTAGTACAATTCCTGTCATAGAGTAGCACTTAATGGATATTTGCTGACTGAATAAAAGAGTAAAACAGAAAAGCTGTTTATTTATATTTACAACTGAGAAAGTCCAGCTTTTTGTCTAGTCTCCTTCATAGCAAATACATGTTCTCATAGCGTGGTCCCCACTCATTTGGGAAGTTTTTACCACAAAGAGGTTCCCATCAATCCATAAATGGGTAGAAAAGCAGAAGAGGGAATAAGTTTGGAAACCTATAGAGAGATATGGGGGTGAAAATTCTAGATGGAAATAGGGCAGCAAAGCTGGGCTGAGTCATTCACCATGAACATGTGTTTTCCTGCAAAATGTGAGATTACATGAGGAGCATATGATTCTGCTGTGGCCCTGCATTCATATAATTCTGTATTTCATTTTTCTGACCCTCAACCTAGGCAAAGAGAAAGTGCTTCCTGACAAATAGGAGACTTATTTGAGAAATGACATGCCAATTTCTAGAACAACCTCCCTCACTCTTTCCCATTCTTAACAAAGAAATATTGGTCCTAACTTCGGGTTAGAAAGTAGGATGCGGAGAGTAGCTAGCCTGCAAAGACTTTTCAAACTGTGTGGGTACTGTTTTTGTTTTCTTTTTATAATAAACTGCAATGCTCAGCCTGGGGCACTTTTGTCCCCCGGGGGATCTTTGGCAGTATCTGCAGACATTTTGGTTGTTATACCCAGAGGAGCACTATTGATATCTAGTGGATAGAGGCTAGGGGTACAGCTGGATCTCCTACAATGCATAGGACAGCTCAGGCAAAAAGAAGTTATCTGCCACTAAATGTCAACAGTGCTGAGGGTTCGTTCACCCTAAGCTAGAGTGAATGAACTCCCTAGAAATCAAGACATTTACACCCAGTGGAAGCACTTGAAACATTTCTGCCTGTCTCACAGTCTTGACTGGATAACTATGTTTCTCATTATTAATGTCTTTTCAAAAAGGATATGTTGCCAGTGCTCCGTGAGCAAATTGAGGCATAAGGCAGTTACAAGAGATAGGAATCAACTTTGGCACCTCACAATGTTGTGGCTGATTTTGTTTGTCAAATTATCATTGGATTTGAAAGTCTAATATGACATTTGCATTTGCACAATGTATCATTTGCAGAAATGGTGTCTGGATTTTAGTAATTTACAGTGCATAGGCCATCAGGATATCCTGTCCCTTCTAGACATGGTGTTCTATTTGTAATAAACTGTGTGGTTGAAGAGAACGGCTAGGGTTCAAAATAAACTAAAGATACTATTTTGGCAGAATTCCTTTGTGAAACAGTTGTGCCATACTGTTCAAATTGGAAACCGCCAGAACATTTTATTTTTTTTTTATTCTTTAAAAAGTGTGACAGGCTTCCTTCCTCTGTGCCATGTTTTGATTTTTAGTCTGATGTGGTCTGCTGTTATTCGATTGCTTATATTTGCTTCACAATGAGATGCTGCCACATCATAAAATACAACCTGTGTAAAAGATTCATCATAAATAAACATTTTACATAATAACAATAGGAAAACTTCTTTCCCAGGGGAGTTGGTATAAGTTGGATGCAGACACTTGTGGATAAGTTGCTACAAGAAAACATGGGTACCCTCACATAGGGGTTAGTAGAAGGTAACAGTACCTTACTCCAATGTCTGTCTTCCTGAAAGCAGATCACCTGAAATGTTGAGAAAGTGATGAGAACTCCTTGATTTATTCAAAATATCTGACTCCAAAAGACAAAAATAGGGGAATTTCGAGTCCTTAAGAAAAAGCAGTTTTGCCTGTTTAATAAAGGTGAAGTTTTAAGTATGTTGGTTATGAATTCTAATACCCGTAAAAGTGGAAGTGTCTTCGTTATTTTGTCTACCTATAGATATCTAGATACAGATATAAATATAGCTCTAGATAATACGGACGTAGACACCCTTTCTACAATCTGATATGCCTCATGCAAGTTCACAGTAGAGACTGTGACAGCAACACTCTCGGGGTTCTTGTCTTCTTCATCCATTGTTATGAGAAAATGAGTTGTTCTTAAAGCTGAGATCTGAAAATGTCTTAGGTAGGATTGGGTGTCCTTTTTGCCCATGATGACTCATAAACAGTGCTGAAATACACAGGTTTTCCTGCAGGCACACCCATGATCAGAAGCCCAGCAGCAACCAGCCTGAGGCATTTATCTTTCATTCATGTGGATGCGAGTGTAGGCTGTTGTTGAGGATGCTGGCATCTTTTTCAAAATTGTATTTTAAATTTTGAATAATATTTTCACATTTCATTTCATTGTCTCCTGTCTCCTCTACTTCCTCTCTTTGGGGAATGTTTAGCCAAAAACAGGAAGCCTGGTAATAAGGAAAATAAGACTGTAATCCATATGTGTATTTTTGTTAATTTAAGGAATGGCTTCACTTATTTGCTATCTTCTCTTTCATGTTTCTCTGCCAGGGAATTTCAAAATCTTGTATTTAGATTTCCAAATCAGATACCTAGATGTCATCTTGATTTATGTTCTCTTCCAGTTAACCCTTGCATTCAGTCAGTTACTAAGTACAGCTAGATCTTCTTTCCAATCTTTCTCCTTTTAGACTCCTTCCTAGAAGTGGAAGTAAAACAGGCATCTTTGTGAAAAAGTATGACGGCCATTGATACTTGGGCCATCTTAGCTGTAGAAGCATCTAAATTACCTGCAGATGAGATGATGCATGGACAGATTATTACAAATCAAATCATTTCTGTATTTCTAAGGGCAATAAGCAAAATTACCCTGCTAATCAGGCATGCTAATCATTGGGAAAATTTTACATTTAGTAAACATCTAGATGTCTACTATATATAATATATAACTCTTTTTAAGTGACATTTACACACACATGCATGAAAAAAGCCTAGGCTGAAAATTTTCAAATGAAATTCGTTATTATTAGCAAAGATTTCTATCTGCAATACACTACATAAAACTTTGTGTAATTATATAATGTATATTGACCAATAAGATCATGTGACACTAGTGTATTATTCCTTATTTGTTCTATACATTGTATCTGCTTCTTTTGCAGTAGATAACTTTGTTTTGAGGAAATTTTACTGAGGATATTTTGTTCTTTTTTGAAAATGTTGAACCAAGACAAATGCAGAAAGGGTATGCTCCAATTCTATTCCCAAGTACATACCAACAAGTCCAAGCTCCTCTTTCCATTAATGGCCAGCAGATACATGAATAAAATAATAAATGCAGAAAAGGACATAAGTTGACTCTTGGATCGTTTTCTAAAATAGAAGTCTTACATTAAAGGTGATAACATGGTTAGCACCAAAATACATGCTTAGTTCTGTACTAAGCAGTGTAGATTTCATAAGCGTTTCTCAGTCTCGGCACTATTAACATTTAGGGCCAGATAATTTTATTGAGGTGGAGCAGGATCCTGCTTATTGTAGCACGTTTAGAAGCACCACCGAACACTACCCACCACATGCCAGTTGCATCTACCTCCATGATGACAATGAAAAACTTCTTCAGACATTGGCAAATGTCTGCTGAGGCACAAAAACAAGTTGAGAACCACCAATGTATGTCAAAGTAGGAGACAGTCTCAGTCTACAAAAAGCCCATAAACTCACTGTGGAAAGACAACATACATGTATGGCCGGGCGCGGTGGCTCACACCTGTAATCCCAGCACTTTGGGAGGCCGAGGCAGGCAGATCACGAGGTCAGATTGAGGCCATCCTAGCTAACGCAGTGAAACCCTGTCTCTACTAAAAATACAAAAAATTAGCCAGGCTCGATGCCACGTGCCTGTAGTCACAGCTACCTGGGAGGCTGAGGCAGAAGAATCGCTTGAACCCGGGAGGTGGAGGTTGCAGTGAGCTGAGATCACGCCACTGCACTCCAGCCTGGGTGACAGAGTGAGAATCCACCTAAAAACAAAACAAAACACAAAAAAGACAACATACATATACAAATACACCAATTATGATAATGTACAATATATATACAATTATTCTTAACAAATCCTAGTCCATATAAATATGAAGCAGCATGTGTAGACCTAGAGATTACAAATATTAAACGGTAAAAGGAGAGCAAGTTGGGAGTCCACCATGCCTTGGGCCGTGATGCAATACTTCTCAAACTTCAGAGTATGTGTCAAAATCGCCTGGAAAGCTCCTTAAAACATAAATCTCCGGACTCTATCCCCCTGAAGTTCTGACTCATTTGGCCTGAGTGAAGCCTTAGAAGTTACAACTTTAATAAATTCTCAAGTGAAATTGATCCTGTTCATCCCAGACACATTATGAGAATCACTGAATTAAGAAACCAATAAGTTAAAAGGACAGCTTAAAGGAACAGAAAAAAACACATATGCCTCAACACTTGTAAAAAATTAGCCCTGAGATGGAAGAAGTGAGGGCTTTGATCAGTGTATTAGTTCATTTTCAATCTACTGATAAAGACATACGCGAGACTGGGAAATTTACAAAAGAAAGAGGTTTAATGAACTTACTGTTCCACATGGCCAGGGAATCCTCACAATCCTGCTGGAAAACAAGGAGGAGCAGGTCATATCTCGGATGGTGGTGAGCAAGTCATATCTTGGATGGTGGTGAGCAAGGAGAGAGAGCATGTGCAGGGAAACTCCCATTTTTAAAAGCATCAGATCTGTAAGACTTACTATCTGAGAACAACATGGGGAAGACCCACCCCCATGATTCAATTATCTCCCACCAGTTCCCTCCCACAACACGTGGGAATTATGGGAGCTACAAGACAAAATTTGGATGGGGACACAGAGCCAAACCATATCAATCAGTAAATACATGAATATATTATTCACCAATGTTTCCAACTGTGTGCTCCAGGTTCATAATGCAATTTTATTTCTCAAAAGATTATTAACATAAACACTGTATACAGGCTACATCCAACTCAGGTTCTGAGAAAACTGGAAAGAACCCAGAGCATTATAGGAATTCAATAAAGGTTGACTCATAAAATTAATTATCTAAAGTTTCAAAGGCATGTTCTTTTTGCTGTGATTTAAAGCATAGTTTGCTTTCTACATTGCTTCTGTGGGAATATTTTCATTAGCTACACTCTTGAATTATTTGTATTCATTTTACAGGGTAGGTAGGTGTATACCTAATTTTGTCTTAAACTGAGTCTGACTCTTCTAACAGGAAAGAAGCTAAAACGTCATTTTCCTCAGAGCTGGCCATTGCTGGGCAATGTGTGAAATCCTATGAACAATTTGTTAGGCTCTTTTGTAAGTCGTGTTTTTGTCTTCTCAGAATTCTCCCTTCCTTGGTAATTATAGTTATTTTGTGTACTCTACATGTCTGCCTCTTTGCCCTACGTCTTCTAGAAAACAATTGAAGTAATTTGCCCAGCGTTGGTTAGATGTTTAATAAATGACTACAATTACCAAGCTTATTTGACATGAAGTATTGACAAAAGATGTCTCTCATTTCGGGGATATTTTCACCTTAAGACTGTTGGCAGTTTTCTGCACAGGTCTCTCTGTTCTGCTTGGTGTTTCACTTCTTATAATATCATCTGTCTCTTCATTTCATCATGTCTGTCATCAAATGATCCCTGTATTAGTACATTCTCTCACTGCTATGAAGATACTACCTGAGACTGGGTAATTCATAAAGGAAAGAGGTTTAATTGACTCACACTTTGACATGGTTACGGAGCCCTCAGCATAGTTGCAATTTTTGCAGAAAGTTTAGGAGAAGCAAGCACCTTCTCCACAAGGTGGCGAGAGAGAGAGAGAGAGAGAGAGTGAAGGGGAAACATGATCTAGTCACCTCCCACCAGGTCTCTCCCTGGACACACGGGGATTACAATTCAAGATGAGATTTGGGTGGGGACACAAAGCCAAACCATATTAATCTCTCTCCTACAGCCTTATTTCTTAAAACTCTTATGGTAGCTATGCTTATCAAAATGACTCATGGCTCTCCTCACTAACCAGAAACCCCAGACACAATTCTATTAAAGCTATGTTCTTACTGCTGAATCAAATTTAAACCATTTCTCAGGCTCTCTCCCGGACTTTTCTTTTACATAAATTCAGTGACCATAGGCCCTGGATTATTTTGGACTCTTTTGATTTTGCCTATCTGTTGCCTTCATGATAATCTTTCAACCAGACATATCCCCTTTATCAACCATTATTTCCAAACTAGATTCCACAAGACTTTTCTTAAAGGATACACATTGTATCTTTTTATATAGGATTTATATAGGAATCAGTTTTAATCCTTGGTCACACTCTGCTTTTCATTATTTACTGCATGTGAGCCTTCTCTTTGCAAAAGGATTGTGGACTAGCTCTGATCCAGGCCTGTATTTTACACATAGTTTTTATAGCATCTTGCTCATTGCACAGTTAAGTGTTTAGTAAACATTTGCCAATTCAGTAAGGGCAACTCTCAACTATATTTGCATTAAATTTTAATTCTTCTTCATTTAAATAAATTAGGTACCAATAATGATCAAATGAGGGAAGATTTTTTAGATCAGAACTAATTCCAGCTCACCATTATATTACATCATTAACTCTGTCTACTTGTATAATTAGTCTTGGGTGCTTACATATTATTTAATTAGTGCTTCTATGTTTCATATAGGATAGAGCTTTTCATTATTTTAATTTCTTAGTAGTTAACTCTGCAGTCTAGATTAAGCCCTTCCCTATGCATGAACATCAATTGTTTGCATGTGTTTGCCCACGGGTATGCACATTACTGACAGATGAAAGATGAAAAGGAGGTGAAAGGGGAGGGAATCTCAACATCCATGGGAGGATCCAGGAATGTTTGGACTGCAAAGTAGAGTTTGGAAACATTTGTCTCATGTAGACTTGGGTTTAGAATTAATGAGATAATTTTCCACCTAGGATTTACTGGCTTTCAGACCCTTGGGGAGCTTTATGTTTTTAGGCAGTGAATTATCTGACCAAGATTGATAATCTGATTTATTACAAATATTATTCTATGCAAACGTTGGAAATTTAAGTGGAATATCATCTAGGGCTGGCTTTCTGCCAATTTGGAAAAAGAATAATAATGAAGTGAATGTTTAGTATTTATTGTAGTAGGCTTATCATCAAAGCTTACTGAGTAGACAGCAATAGAAAATTCCATCTCAGAGTTTCTCCTGTAAATGATTACTCTGAGGTATTATTTTGGATATCAAAATCTACTGGTGGCAAGGTTATATATTTTTTTCAAAAAGAAATGAACTCAAAAAACAGTATGGCCTAGTTCAACAATTACTAGAATAGAAGTTTGTTTTCTACTCACTCATGAGATATTTCACTGTTCTGAATGTATCTACCCACCTTTATCCTAGTTATAATATAGGTCCTATCAATATCACAGTCTTTCTGGAATAATCACTGAAAATGTCTGTGGCCATGCAAGACAAAATATATTTATTGTGAATTAACATAACTTGCACATAACATTGGATGGCCTATTTTTAATCAGGAAATAACTATAGTGGGCAAAAGGCTTTGTCAGTTCCAAAGCACACAGTCCACAGTAGTCATTGTAGTAAAATAGGCAAGTAATTAAGCAGAAAAAACTTATGAGAATCCATAAGCTTCATACTAAAAGCAATCTGGCTGCTGGGTCTTGATAAATAAAACCCCCTCCCAATG